CGCATGCTCCCTCTCTTCATCTTCCTAGCATCTTCATCACCGCTTTGAGATATGTAATATAAACAAAATGTAAAATAAAACAGAAAGAAAGAAAGAAAGAAAGAAAGAAAGAAAGAAAGAAAGAAAGAAAGAAAGAATGAAAGAAAGAAAGAAGACAGTCTGAGCAGCAGCACTACAAATTGCGTTTTCAACTTATAAAATATAAAATTTTAGAGAAAAAATATTTTTGAGAAGAACACTGAAAACAATAACAGTTTAGTGATATTTCTCAAGAGCATTTTAGCTTAATATTCTACCATTGCTTTGTAAACAGTGAAATTGAGGGAATTAAATCATGAATATTAAAACTAATCTAACACAGAAACCACTTTAAACAACATGTTTATTAAAAGCCATAACTGTAGCATAGTGATTAATGCATTCCTTACGTAATCACTTAAATGGAGTGAGAAATACTGAACATTTCTTTCTTTGTTTTTTGCCTCTCAAAGTAGAAACAATAATAGTTCCAACAAATCGCATTGACAGTAGGGATGTAGGCTGAGGTGTAGGCAGCACAATAGCTGGCACGTATCGCTTATGTACAGGAATGACAAACACACATTCACACACACACACACACACACACACACACACACACACACACACACACACACACACACACACACACACACACACACACACACACACACACACAAACACAGTCAAAAAAAATCTTTTTAGTATCCAGTCGCCAAAACATCTCTGTCTTTTGTCTCTCATCTGCTCATCACCTCTACATGCACCTTTTTGTAACTCTTGACTTCCACAATAAAACACGCCAGCAAGCACTCTCTCTTTACAACAAAAACAGCGAAAAAAAAAGTTTATCACTCTGTTTCTCTGATCCTCTCCCCGCCCTCTCTGCTTCCTCCACATTCCAGTTTCTCCTTGAAAACATTAAGAGGCTGTCTGTCGGGGAAAGCGAGAGGAATTAGGAAAGAAAGCATCCCTGAGCCAGGTGAGATTACTCCCCTCAACTGAGTCCATTACTTAACAGGGTCAGTAGTTAACGGCAGGAGCCACATCCGTTCAGCACAAAGACCCCTGAACCAGCAGCCTCTTCTCTGCAGTGATATGGAGAGTTGACTCCATGAACACTCTTTTCCTTTAGTTGCTGTTTTAGTTGCTGCCCCCCCCCCCCACCCCACCCCCAATAATTATGTATGTTTGTTCATTTTAACTGCAAACATAACTTATCTCAGTTTTGACAATGACCCTGTGACAGGCCCCTTTTTGTCACCAAAGGTTGAAACAGTCACATTTCCTGTGACTGCTCCATCTTAGTCAGCAATAGCTGTGGTGATGGTGTTGGCACTGCCCTGGGCTCTGCTCTATCTGCCGAAAAAAGGTGGTGGGTGTCTCCCTAACCACATATCCTCTTTCACTCTCCTCTCCTCTTCTCCACTCCACCCTTCTCTTTCTCTCAACCAAGGCCAGCCAAAAGTCGTTTCATCTAGCACCCACACACACATGCAGCACAGAGAGGGAAAAAAAAAAAAGAAAAATAGACACTTCACTATAATCACATGTACACACGCTTCAGTACACATACAGTACTCAAACATGCACCTGATCAAATTTAGAAAGAAAGAAAGAAAGAAAGAAAGAAAGAAAGAAAGAAAGAAAGAAAGAAAGAAAGAAAGAAAGAAAGAAAGAAAGAAAGAAAGAAAGAAAGAAAGAAAGAAAGAAAGAAAGAAAGAAAGAAAGAAAGAAAGAAAGAAAATTTGTATGCACAGATATGCCACAAACGCATTTGATCTGTACAGAAGACCGCAAAACAAGCTGAACTTAAAAACCAAGAGGGGGGAAATCGTTTATTTGCCAAAATCTGAACGGGATCATTTTATTTGTAAATTAAATTAATTTCAGAACATATTACAAATAAACAAATAAAAATATCTCGCATAGACCACAAATAACTAATGATTTTTCCTAACCCCGTTTAGTTGAGCTTTTCTCAACTTGCACGAGAACGTAGCCTATAATTATCCGTTAACCTTTACCATTTAGCTAATAAATTAAATGAAAAACACTATTAAATTGGACGAATCGAAGATAATCGGCAGCTGTTTTTTTTTTCTTTAATATGTTTCTTTCCTTCCTTTTTTGCTACATGTCTCTGCCTAACAGGTCGGACCCGCAACCGGATGATTTTTTCTGCGTCTTTCATTTGACCTGAAAGATCATTTGTTCGACAACATCTGAAATTGTCAAAATTCACTTTTTGAAGGATAAAGAAATTAAACAAATTAGTATTTTAGTTTTTGGTGCTGCATTTAAATTTATTCGAGCCTAACTGGCGTTTTTTGCTTATCAATTTGCTGACAACACTTAATTGACAATGACATTCGTTTTTAAATTATTATTATTATTATTATTATTATTATTATTATTATTATTATTATTATCATTATTATTATTATTATTATTATTATTATTATTATTATTATTAGGGCTGCGGCTGTTATTGTCGTTTTTCTAATAAACTATATATTACATCTGTCGGTGCCGTTGTAGTGTACATTATTTACTGTCTGCTTAATGTCTGTTTATTTTTATAATGGTTTAATGCTACATCCGTACGTCTACAAAAACAATTATTTTACCTGTACACTTATTCATGGATTGCATGAAAGGGATAAATAATGCGGTACAAACACTAAAGGATGCTAAAAGAGCCTCAGACAGAGTGAGGGAGTTCGACTGCACTACAGCATCTCACAGGTTTCACGGGAGATCTTATCAGATTCAGCACCAGAAAAGGCTTTACGATGTGAACCGATCACAACCTTGTTTCAGCACGCGTCAACTGAATTAGACCAAATGAAGAACCATTAAGTGCTCGTTCAATCAGCAGCCTGATAATCGGGATTAGGCAATTAGAACCAATTAATAACCAAACCCACTTTAACAAATATAGGGTAATAAACCCCAGCACAGGCTTTTCGAATATTTGCTCATGTGGTTTTGATATTAATATCGAACACTGCACGTGGTCGGCAGTGTCAGTGTAATTTTTGGAAATGCGCAGGTGAGTTTTTAAATTAAATAAAACGAAAAATAATGTTAATTGACTATGAATCATACATATAGATAATTAGTTTAGGGATGTAGCTCAAAATACATTCTATAAAAGCTCTTTAGAATCATACATTTAGGGGAAAACACATATAACCAAATAAATAGTTTAGGGTGGGAAAAACCCTTTCGCTGCATTTCTTTAAAATAAAGAGCACACACACCTGAGCAAGGTTCAGTGGATATTTCCCCCCGTGCCATCTATGAGAAGCGCGCAAATTTTATTATTTATTATGAACTGGAAGGTTATTTTTTCTCTCAAAATTTTTCATTAAGATTTATAACTAAAAGAGGCTTGTGTTTATAATATTTACATTATGACTTCTGTTTAAGCAGCACAGCTGCAGCTGGACAGCTGAGAAAATGTTGTTCTGACAAAATAACTGATAGCAGCAGGATTACACAGTCATCAATGTTCATTAACTACATTCGACACTCTCATAATAAAATAATCATATCGAATGATTTAGAGTCGAATTAAAATAAAGGGCATTTGAATTAGGCTATCTTGAATTATCTTACTCATATTTTAGCCTATATCAGGGACATAGCCTAGCCTACTGTTTAAACAAGCATACAACATGTTCAACAAATGTTCAAAATGTTTTGCTGTTTGAGTGTTATTAGACAAAAATTACTAAACGCGTAGAGCCCGAACAGAATTTCCGATAACTTGTCAAAAGTTTAAGAAACCTTTCATCCTCAATGTGTTCCTGGTTAAGTTTAAAGCGCAGCACAGAATCCACCTGCGCCGGAGCTCCGATGCGCCGTGCAGCGCAGCGCGCGACTCATCACCACCATTCAAATCTTCATTCTCAATAAGAATCCTCATTTATTAGTTAGCAAGAGCTATAAGTATAAGAGCTTTTTTTTTTTTTTACATAGAATTACTTTATGATATACATAGTGTGATATATATATATATATATATATATATATATACACACACACACACACACACACGAAATTCTCTATCATTGAACGGAATTGTTGTTTTATTTAAACTTTATATTATTGTTGTTATTGTTATTAATTAGGAACCTTTTTATGTGAATGTCAGATGTCAGATAATGACTATTCATATTTGTGTTACGGTCTTCGTGTTTAATCGATACGCATGTCAATGTTGCATATATAAAAAGAGAGCTGGTCGAGTGGAGAAAGAAAAAAAATAGCGCAGAATCTGGAAAGATATGTGGATGGACCCCCGTTGTTGGCCAAAGGGAATCCAGGGGCCTGCGCTCGTATCAGCGTGTGCATGGCACAGAGAAACCAGCCCTGATGATTAATGTTCTGCTCACCATCTCTCCCTCCACAGACCCTGATCCCCCTCCCATAAACATTCTGTCCTGATAAAAGCATTCTACACATGAACTTCAGAATAACTGTGCACTTAAAGATCTGTACATTTTACACAGCTACAGCATGTACTTAGACAATTTTCTGATGTTAAAAACTACAGCAAAAATAAATAAATAAATAAATAAAAAAAACTTACAGATGAAATCAATTAGATTTGAAGCCACGGACTGATTTTCCAAGAATCACTAAAGGAAATAAAAAGTGACCCGTTGCAAATTCACTAACAATTTCTAAAAGCTAGTTTCTGCTTAACAAACTTTACAACAAAGACAGCAATTTGTGACAATGGACCCCAGCCACTAAACCACAAAAAGAATTGAAACTAAATATGGTTAACAAGTAACAAACAATTAAACAATTCACTGACACTAATAGAAACTTTTTTTTACTCATGCATGTTAATTTGCTAACAAAAAAGAAAAGAAAATGGTCAACTCTTGCTTACACACAAACACACTTTAACAACTGCACAAAGACATAGCAGACACAATGACACACGGGGACAGCATCCCACTGACCTGCTGGGACATTCTGAAGAGGAGGTTGCTGTCAGTGCTCTGCTGTGTCCATGTCCCCATGAAGCCCGGCTCAGCGCTGGCCGGTCTGGTGCTGAACTGCATGGAGCTTTCTCCTTCTTCTCCTCCTCCTCCCCCTGCACCGCTGCTGCTGCTGCTGCTCCTGCTGCTGGCTCTGGCCGTGGACTCGCGTGCCCTCTCTCGATCTCGTTCTCTCCACACCACACCGCCTCTCACATCCAACTCTGTCTCCTCAGACTGGCGGCAGAGAAGAGGGGGAAGGGGGGGTGAACAGGGGAGCCGGAGAGAAAAGTACGTAAAGGTGGAGGTTCAAAGAGGCAGAGGGTGACTGCTCTGTTCTTTTTTTTCTCTTCTGTCCTATTCTTTTCTGTCTTTCCTTTTCTTTCTCTCTCTCTTTGCTATCTTCTCTTGAGAGAGGGGGGAAAGTGGAGGGTCTTGCCTGCCAGTAGCAGGAGGAGTGTGTTGAGTTAATTCAGGAGCAGGGCTGCACAATGCATATTTCCTCTGGGGCATGTGGTGGTAGAGGGCAGGATGAGCAGAGTGTCGGAGGTAAGGAGGGAGGAAGAGAGGGATGGGGGTGTGAATTGAAGTGAAGTGCAGGAGGGAGAGAAAAAAAGGGGGATGGCAGAAAAATGGAGGAGGAGATGGTGAAGGAGCTTCTTTTTTTTGTCTGCGTCCCCCCCACAAACACTTTCACTTTTTTTTTGTTTTTGTTTTTTTGAAATGTCAGTCAAGCTGTGTATGGGCTGTCCTCCAAACATACACGGACATACACATACATACATTCCAAACAGAAATCAATCGTCGAGCACACTCAGTCACCCGTAACCTGCCCTTTGAACCCCCTCACACATCTCAACACAGACAAAAACACCACACTTTTTGGCTCTTTGCAGCTCTACTACACTCCATATCTCACAATCCAAAACTATCGCTAACAGCTCAAAGTTTCATTCCAAAGAAAAGAGCTGAAATGAGACAAGAGCAAAAGACAAATCGTCCCTCCCTTCTCCCCAAAAGGTGCCCTTTCTCACCAGAGTGTCCGGCGTGGTTTTCCTCCCAGCTGTGTAGAGATCAGGTGTTGGAGTGTGTCAGTTCAAAAGCAGCCCCTCCTCTCTTACTCTTTCTCTTTTTCCTTCCCTCGCTTTCTTCGGGCCCCTTCTCGCCCTCAGAGAAGCCTGTCCTCTGTTTCCAGACTAACTCCAGCTAGCGCTGTGTCAGTGTGCATGTGCGTGCAGCCGTGAGTACATGTGTGTTGTTGTGAGGTAGAGCATGTGTGTGTCGGGCCGCAGCGCGTCTGAGTTAACTGCTCCTCTCTTCTTGCTGGCACTCAATGACACGGCTCTCTCTCTCCTCCACTGATCTGCTTTCCCACTGAGAGGGAGAGAGAGAGGGAGAGAGAGAGAGAGCAGGAGGGGAAAGGGTTGTCCCTGTCTTATTACCAGCTCTCCATGCCTGATGCTTCTCCACTCCAGACCTCAGTGGGATTGAGCCACTCTCTAATACATGCACTCACACACACACACACACACACACACACACACACACACACACATATAACTGGCCCATCCACACAACTGTTCCAAGCAAATAATGCATTTGTCAATACAATTGGACAAGCTCCAACTTCTATAATAGCCTCAATGCTAAACCAAAAGATGTTTCTGAGCCTTCCAACTGCACTTTATTTTGCATTTATTTCACTTTACGTTGGACAGCCGGTAAACTTACAGAAAATGTTTAACAATTTGCTACCAGGAATTAAAAAAATGATAAAAAAACACATTGTGTTTCAATAGCCGGAAAGAAGTAGCAACGTGTCATTATTTAGGGTAGGCAGAAAAACCCTTGATTTTTATCACCAAGTCTTATTCCTTTGTCTGTTTTTCTTCCCTTGTATTAAACAGCTCTAGCTAATGGTTGTATGTAATCAGTCCACGCCCCCCCTCCAACAACTCCCCCTGCGAATGCACGCACACACACACACACACACACACACACACACACACACACACACACACACACACACACACACACCGTCTTGTGGAGTAGTGCGGCAGAGCACATAATCATACATACTCTCACCCACTCACAAACACAAACACACACACACACACACGCAGGGAAACCTCGAGTGGATGCTTTCAGATTTTAATTAAGAAAAAAATGAGGAAGAGGCTCCATTTTTGCCAAATTGGTCCCCGCAGCAGACAGTCTCACAAAGGTGGAGGAGAGAAAGAAAGCCCTAACATATGCACTTACAATAAGTGGCAGCATCTCTCCCTCGTTGTACATGCCAAAACATTTTACCTGAGAAATGTGTTGTGTAATAAAGCCATTTTTTGTTATTATTGCATGTTTTTGCTCTCGTAAGTTTTTTTCCTTCAGCATTTCGTCAGCTGTTAAAATTACAGTCTTTGACAATGCCAGTATGTCTGAGGAAGATGTCACCGTGATCTCCCTTCTATGAGACAGAAAGAAAGGGAATTAACTTTTCTCCCTTTCGCTACATTAAATGGCTTCTCGTATGTAGAAAGCCACTTGAAATTTTGTGGCAATTTGAAGGAGACAGCTGTTACTGTCTGTTAAAAGCCTCTGTACAGCACTAATGACAGCTCTGGCTAACCTTTACCTGAGTAATCTGCACAGCATTTTGTCTGATCAAATCTAGTGTCTTCTTCTTCTTTTTCTTTTTTCAGATTGAATGAAAAGGCAAAAGGGAATGGTGGCAGCCGCAATGAGAACTTAATATGCCGTTTTGTTTCTTTTCCTCACCTCTTTTCTCTCTCTCTCTCTGTCTGTCTCTCTCTCTCTCTCTCTCTCTCAAGTGTAGAGTGCCTTCCGCAGTAACCAAAGACTTGAAGACTGCACGTCTTTACAAGCAAATGGACACTAATGAGAGAGATGCTTAGAGCCTATTGTCACACATTTGTCCCCTCCATTTCATCTCTCTGCTCAGATTTTCTCTTGTTCAGTACTAAATGGCAGTCAATTGTTGTTTTTGAATACAACATGGACATTAATGTGTAGTAACCATGGCTTTAAAAAAAATCTCTACCGGTTACATTATCGATAAACCCAATTCCAGTAAACCTGTTTCTTCTTTTTTTTTACTCTTAAATGTCTCAATTGCTCTTCATTTGACTTTCTCTCTTGAATGTGCTTGATTTTTGAAAGCTACAGAGTGTTTTAAGTTAAGCGGTCAGCTCAGCTTCTGACCTCCCCATTAATAGTTGTTATTTGTGAGAGTTTTAAGAGGCTAATATCCTTTTCCCTTTTTGCATGTTAGCTCCATCTTTTTCTTTCAGCATGTCCCATCCTCATTCTCTCTCTCACACGTGCACGCACGCAGGTGAGCTTGAGCTCAGATCCAGCCAGTGGCAGCAGCAGAAGCAGCAGTCAAGGAAAGCAGAGAGCCCCAGTAATGGACTCCTTTATTAAAACTATTATTCTGCAAGACTTCAAATTCCCTCCAGACTAGGGCCATGTCGAAGCTGATATAATTAACTAGAGGCTCAGCTACGGATCAATTACCAGACAAGCAAGTGATAGCCAAATCAATGAAAGATCATCAGCCACATTATCTGTGTTGCAACTCATTAGAGTAAAAGAGAAGAGAGCATGCTGGGAGTCCTGGGGCTGTGGCACTGCGGCAGCACAGAGGACATCGACTTTTTCTTAGTGACCTATGTCAGTTTCAGTGTCAGGGTTTCTTTTTTTCCAAGGTGTCTTTTTTTTCTCAGGGTGCCTCTGTATGATTTTTTTAAGTAACCGCCAAGTGCTGAACTCTTTTTGCAAATGACTTGACATTGATAATAAACTTTGCCTGCACTGAGGGAAGGCTGGTAAACAACCGAGAGGGGAAAAAATCGTTATCTGACAAGTGAATGGCAAAGTAAACCCTAATTAATTATTCATGAGGTGACATGATGTTTTTTTGTTCCTGTAGAGAATGGTACTAGCAACATCAAGGTCATGGGTTTGATACCCTGGGAATTGTATGAACTGACAAAATGTATGCTTTGAATGCAGTATAATTCACTTTATAGTGACTACCTACAAAATGAAGCTATGGAGTATTCTGATAATAGTAATAATGAAAGTCAAAGACGAAGAAATGAAAAGCAGCTGCCAAAAGAAGTGTATTTTATTGAATGTTTTAGAAAGAAAGAAAGATAGGAAGAAATAGATAAATAAAAACAAGGTAGATAATAAATAAGACAGGTTCACAGGAAGTAAGTGTGCTTCAGGATTGAGTGGTTCTAATCTCTTCTCTTCACACTGATGCCCACCTAATGGCTGAGATAAGGTTTTCTCTAGTCCTCGCTTCTCTGAGTGCCTATTAAAATTAGGGTTCTCTTTTAAAACAACTGTGCCATAGTGCCATTTTCTCATCTTGTTGTTAAGCCAAAGAGGAAAAGCATACAACTCGTTCACGATAGTGAGGTTAACCTCTAAAACAAATAATGCCAAATGAATATTTTAAAGACTTATTCATTGTCCCCTCCCTGTCTAACACACAAGTATTGTACACGCAAGTGAATGAAGGAGTAGGAAATTAGAGTGCCCCTCATGTGACTTGAAGACAGCGTGTCGATCAGATGGCAGCCAAATAGAACTGTCACTGTTCTGTTCTGCTGGAAGACGCAAAGGGCCACAAGACATCATATGACACCATGCATAAACAACCTTTCACTTGTGTAAGAATGAGAGAAAGTGAAGGTCCCCTGAACTCAAGAGCCACACATGATCTAAATGCCATCAATAGTGCAATCACTGAGTATTCCACGTACCATTGTGACCAGCTAGAGCAAAGGATTTAGAGAGAACAAAAACATTCTCATATTAGCCTACTTAAAAGCGAAATGCGCAAACATTTATTTTTCAAAACACTCATGGTGCTTATGAATTTGAGAACATTGAAAAAGAAAAAGAAACAAATCATTCAACCTGCCTCGTTCTATGGTTCATGAGGACTGTTGACTTAGTAACGCTCAGCAATCACACAATTAGCTGCTCTCTTCATCTAACATCACCTCTGCTGACTGAGGAGAAAAGCCATGCTTGAAAGGGCAGAGGTTTTGTGTCCACCCATCTTCTGTCACCTTTTCCTGTTCCTTGCCCCTTGATTCTCTCTTGGTAAAGCTTCTCAAGTAAATCTCAATGCTTGCATACAATCGTCCAATTTGTAAATCTGTCTAAAAACTTATCTATACAATGGCTACTTTAATAAACAA